ATACAAATGGCCGAGATAGTGGGAGGGTCACCTCGTTCCTTTCACCAAAAATTATGCAGTGCCCATGAAATACATGCCCAAAGGTAAATGCGAAGCTGTTCCCACCCTCGGCATCAGGTGTGGCATGGCACGGCATGTTCGGGAAAGATGTCACTAGCAGGAGGCTGTCACGTAAAGCAGCGAGGGGCTCTGTGTGTGCAGAGGAGGGACGCGCCCTCCCCCAGCCAAGCCCTCAGGCGTTGTCTTTATGATGAAATAATTATGAACATGAACAGGAAAGGTGGGAAGGAAGGAGCTCATCAGAAGAGACTTAAACCAGAGGAGAACTCATACCTCGGAAGAGGACCGAGGTGAGGCCAGCTCCCACACAGCCACTGTCCTTGGAGGCGCTTTGATTCCCCTGAGACGTGCTGAAGCAGAAATGAGCTAGCCCATGGGAGCGGAGTGTGTTTAGGTTTTGAGGGGTGATGCTTCTCCAAATGACATATCGGAAGCTTCCCTTTCCTACCCCAAATCATAGAGCAAATACATTGTCCCTCCCTTCTATACTGAAGGGAGTCATTTCTCATTTAGGCAAAAAGTGATATTATCTGCTAATATCGTCTAAAAACACCTGCTCATAACATGCTGTTATTCGGAATCTGCCCGTACAGTCAGGACGAGGGAGAAATACAAAGCAGCCGTAGTTATGAGTAATTCACAGAGGAGTGTGGAAAGGCGTCCTACAATAATTAGTCACACACTTTTCAGTCGTAAAATAGAATACAGATTCTAGCTAAACTTTTCTTGATAACTGGGTGTCGCCACTATGACTGCGTGTGTTGGAACATGCCACGGCTCTGGGCGCAGGCCCGTAACTCACCGAGGGACAGCACAGATCTCAGACAGCGCAGCTGCTTCCTTACGCTGAGAAGCACACATTACTTTAATGATTGTGGATTTCTAAGATATTTGAGAAAGAATAGTGTGCTCATACAGTACTTATTTTTCAAAGCGTATACACAGAACATCCTGGGAGCCAGCGTGCCGAGATGTTATGGGGACTAAATCTGGAAGGTGGCAATTATTATATTTTTGTAATTTTTATACTTTTAGTTTTTTCTCCTAGAAAAATTACTTGTTTTTTAAAAGAAAAATTCCCCTATTTCAGCGATAACGCAAAGTGAAACAAGACGTCCGCTGCCGTGGGCACCAGGAAGACGCACTACGAGCCGAAGGCGGAAGCTCTTGCTTGTCCCGTCTCCTTTTTTACCTCCTTTTCCCTTTTTCTTCACATCTATTCGGTCATCGATTCGAAAGTTTTTGCTGAGCATCTACTATGTTCTCTCTCTGTCCCGGGTTCTAAGATTCTAATGGTGACCCGAAGCATGGGTGCCTGTTCTCCTGCTGCTGACCAGTGGCGATCGCGTTTGGACTGGTGGACAGATATTCATGAGTCATTACACGCACTCCGAAAAAAATGTGGAAGGACAGCTGCGCCCCCACCCGGGGAGCCAGGGCGCCAAACGCAGCGCAGGCCGGAGGATAGAGCAGGCTCCGGAAAGAGCCGGAAATACGAACTACTGAGCAGATCTGAGCTGCTCTCTCTGGGCTGGACACAGAGCTGCCAGCTTCTGCGAAGGCTCTGGTTTTGAAGGCCATCATTAGGAAGTGAGAGTGATCTTTTATTCTGATTAACAAGTCTAAACTTCAATATCTTGTCTTCTTAGGTCACCATGTCGCCTCTTTCAATCACCTTTTTCACTCGGTTTTATTTTCTCTGTGTGCGAAAATCCCTCACGTACGCTAGATCAGAGGGTGTTAGTTTCCTCACTCTCATCCCTTATATCTCGACAACTATATCTCTAGTATTTTTTAAAATTCTAGAGTATGAACTCTAGAATATCAAACAACTACGAACAGCTATTTTTTTTCCTATCCTGGAAAGATATTGGTTTATCTTTTTCTGAATTAAAATCTCTTATTTTCTTGAGTGTGCAGACAGCAAGCAATATATACTAATTTATAGGAATTTAGAAGTTCAAAAATGAGGGAGTGGGTTAGAGTCGGTGAAGGGCAGATATTGTTTTCATTTAACAGGGATGAAGTAGGGTAAATGAGAAGCTGAGTTTGTAAAGATTGCATAAGACGTTAGTAGTAGAGGTGGTATTCAAACCCAGGATTTTTCAAATTCCAAATCCTATGATTTTTCTGTAGTGTATCTGAATATTTAGGATAACATTAATGCTGTATTTTAGGATATATAGATTTATATAAGAATATATTATTTCAGTCTATCTGCAAAGTGAATTTTTGACAAGCTTTTCCAATGTTCTCTCTCTGCTGCATTAAGTTCGCTTTATCGGATCATAAGCTTTTAGTTTGCTGACTTAAATTTTTAGACTTGACATGCAAATAGATATTTGACTCATAAACGGGATGAATAAAGTTTCCAAAGAACATTAAGATACCACCCACTGATGCGAGACATTTCTCAGCAGCCGGATTGTGTTTAGGCCAGAAGATGGCAGAAGAACGACAGCAATGGGAACCTGCACGCGGCAGCTGCGGGCTCCGCCTTAAAGGGCCCGTGAGAAGCCAGTGTGTGTGTTTATAGTTCTGTCCTTCTCCTGATGAAAGGAAGCATTCTTTTCCCTGTGAAACTTTCTCCTTTCTTCGAAATTACAGAATGACTGCAGAAAAACAGAACACAAACATAAGAAAATAAAAGGAACACCACTCGAATCTTAACCACCTGGAGACGACAACCACTAATGTGAGCAGCGCCCGGGCCCGTGCGTGCTTGGAGGGCGGGGCGTGTCGCCTCTGCAGCTGGGTCTGCGTGGAGGGACAGGCGCTACGCCCGGAAAGGCGGGGTTCACATCTGGAAGACCGAAATCAATCCCGAAATCAGTGCTGAGCACCGGGACCCGCATGTATAACCGCGCTCCAGGCTTGAAGGTGGACAGTCCACACGTATGGTGCTGAGCACCAGGACCCGCATGTATAACCACGCTCCAGGCTTGAAGGTGGACAGTCCACACGTATGTGGAGTCCCACGTCCAGGTCAAAGACACCAAATGACATTTCATGTGTGGAGCAACAGACCCCATAGTTGGAGGGCCAGGTCCCTGCTTGCAGATCGAGATTCTGTACATGGAGTGCCAGGTCCCAGGCCTGGAGACCAGCTCCATGTGTTAGTGACAACATGGAGGGCGTTAGTTTACAGGATTCGGGACCATGAGAGGCAGCGGCACACAGTTGGCTTCCTGTGCAGGTCCGTGCAGGGTTGCCTGAGACGGGAAGCCCCCACAGCGTGAGCGGGCTGCTTGCCATCGGGGGATGGCAGGGCCAGGGAACTCCGGGGGAGAGGAGGCTGGGGCGGGGCGCACGAGTCTAAGCGCTGTCTCCGGGTCGGAAACTACAAGGGCGGCAGCTGGGCATCTTGTACTGCCTGCCAGGCTCTGCTGCATCAAGGACCAGAAGACGCCGGGTGTGGTTTCGCTAGCTATGCGAAGCAGGCCGGCGGTCAATGGCTGGAATTCTGCTCTGGGGCTCTTTTTAACTAATTGGATTTGTAGAAGTTTAATTGTGGCGCTAGCACTAGTGGGCTTCTGAGGTAAGAGCTCTCAGCCTGCACGAAGAAATAAACGCCTTGGGCGTCACTACCTAGAGGCCATATTTACACGACACAGCTTCTGTAACTGAAATGCAGGTACCGTGTCTGGATTGCCAGCTGCCGTGCTTATCAGACCGTGTTCCGTGATTGAAGAATGAGATTCTGGACATGGAGTGCCAGGCTCCTTGCTTGTAATGCCAGGATCCAAGCTCCATGACTTCAACGCCAGGTCCTATGTCTCATGGCCCGACGGAAGGCTGAGCTGTGTCTCATGCTGGAGTCCCTGCTTGTGGGTCCATGCTCCACCCTCGAATTTGAGATTACACGTTGGAATGCCAGGTCCGGGGCCAGTTTTCATGCTCAGAGATTCAAATCACACAAGTAAGTATCGGGTTCCGTGTTTATAGTGTGGAGGTATAAATTTCTTATGGTGCATTGGTCTGCTTAGGCTGCCATGACAAAATATCATAGATTGGGTGGCTTAAACAACAAAAAGTTACTTTCTCACAGTTCTGGAGGCTAGAAGTCCAAGGTCAAGGTGCCAGCGAGTTCCGTTTCCGGCGAGGGCTCTTCCGGGCTCGCAGGCGGCCCCTCCCACTGTGTCCCACGTGAGCCTCCGTCCGCGGCAAACAGCGGCGGGTGAGCTCTGGTGTTTCTTCTTCTTATAAGGACGCGAGGAACACCAGACTGCGGCCCCGCTGTGAAGACCTCCTTGAGCCCGAGTTACGCACTTCAAGGCCTGTCTCCAAACACAGTCCCTTTGGGGCGTAGGGCTTCTGCCCCAGAGAGCAGCTTCCCCGCTCTCGTTGGAGAGCCAGCGCCGGTGACCGAGGTGCCATTGTCCGCGTCCGGAATGGCGGCTGGCGAACGCGCGGCTGTTCCTCCCCGTGACGCATGCCCGGAGCGCCGGCCCCGCGCTCGTCTGTCCAGGCTCCGGGCTTGGAGGTCAAGGCTCCGTCCTTGCGGGGCCACACGCGGTCCGGCCCCGGAAGCCGAGGTCGTGCACGCGGAAGTCCAGGTTGCTCCCAGGAGCAGAATCGGCGCGTGGGGAGTCGCGACCCATGGCGGGAGTTCAGACGTCCGTGCCTTGGGTACCAAGTGGCCGTGCTCAGTTTGGAGACTGAGTCGCTCGGGAGGTGCCGCTCGCCCCGCTCGGCCGCCGCATTCCGCACGTGGATTTCCAGGACCCCCGCGAGGACACGTCTTCCCAGGTTTGGAGAGTCGGCGCGAATGACTCAAGTACCAGTGACACACCTGCGGAGCCAGATTGCGCGCGTGGGACAGGCGCTGCGCACGGGACGCCCCGCGTTCCCAGCCGGCGCGCCTCGGCGTTCTGCCTGGAGTCCGAGAGTCTTCGCGTGAAAAGCCGCATCCCACGCTGCCGGGCCCGTTTTCACGCGGGATGTGGAGCCCGTGTGCGGGGAAGGCGAAGCTCCTTGCCTTGGCGCCTGGGGACGCGTCTCAGAGGGACACTGTCCGCGACTCCAGCGCCAGACGCCCGGTGCGGGACGCCACACTCGCCACGGCGCGGTCCGCGCGATTCGGAGCCCACACGTGGGAGGTCGGTGTTCGCAGCGTCCAGCCCCGTGACCGGGGGGCCGCATCTGCACGTGTGGAGCGCGGGTCCCCACGTGAAGGGCCTTCCAGGGGCCCCACACGTGGCGCGTCCCCTTTCGGGCCCGTGGGGCGGAGTTCCGTGTCGGAGAGTAAGAGACATCCGTGCAGGGCTGAGTTCCACGGCACAGTGATGAGGTTCCTTGTGGGACGGTCACCACTCGTCCCACACTTACAGGTGCCGGAGCCACACCCGGAGGGCCGGGTTCAGTGCCGGAGCAGCAGGACACACACTGTGGGCTGGTCTGTGCCTGGAGAGACGCGTGCCGCCCGGAGGGCGCAGTCCCGTGACCGGGGGGCCGCGTCCTGCGCCTGCGGCCGGGTTTGTGCGTAGGCAGCCAGCTCTCACTCCCGCCCAGAGCGCCGGGTCCCGTGTGAAAAGCCAGGTTCTGTGCTTTCTTGGAAGGCAGAATTCACACCTAAAAGTCTCAAATCAACGTCTGAAAGGCCAGATTCCACACCTGGTCGCTAAGATTTAATTCTCCTTGGCTCACGTTCCACACACAGTTGGGGGCTCCTCCTTTGCTGGGTCAGATTCTGCCCCTTGAGTGTGAGGTTCCGTGCCTGAGGTCGGGGCTCCCCCTTTGCTGGGTCAGATTCTGCGTGAGGGCCAGGTTCTGCCCCTTGAGTGTGAGGTTCCGTGCCTGAGGCCAGCGTTCACTGCCCGCCGACCGTGCTTCACGCCAGCAAGTCCAGGGTCCATGCCCGCTGTCCAAGGTCTGGGCATGTGCAAGTTCCATATGCAGAGGCAGCTGGCAGGGCCTCGGTGGCCTCAGGGCCTCCGTCCACGTCAAGAAGGCAGGTTTCACGTGAAGAGGGACAGAGTTCACACCCAGAGGAGCTGAGCCCATATGTACGGGGCACGTTCCATGACTCACGCAACTGTCCACACCTGGGGTCCCTGTCCACACTGGGGGCCACGTCCAGTGTGTGGGGCAGAGTTCAAACCCAGGCAAAGGGGAGGGAGGCCTCACTCCAGGCCTGCGACACCAGCTCCCTATGCTGGGAGACCCTTTCCCACCCAGGACCCAGGCCAGAGCCTGGGGAGCCCGGTTTCCTGGCCGGAGGGCAGGGCCCGCGAGCCCAAGCAGGCAGTTCGGCCACAACTACGCTCTGGCTGGGAAGGAGGGTTTGCCTCTAATTCATTACTCCAGAAGTGGCCATGCTGATCACCACATTGAGACCGTGCTGTGACATAAGTGACCGAAGAATAGCAGCAGAAGCATGCGGCTTGCCGGGAGCTTTTCTGTACTTGCAGAGGAAAATAATGCTTCTGCTGAGTCAATGTGAAGAGGCCAGCGGGAGACAGAAATCGAGTATTTGGGTTTCGCATGGTGTTGTCATGGCTGTTCAACTCCGTAGTTACCCCGCGGTGACGGAGCGCTAGGCCTCACCTGCATTGCTGGGTTGTGTGGTTTAGTTCTATGCGACATGTCCTGTTACTTGACAGGTCAGAAAACTGTGGCGCAGACAGTTGTACTGATCTTCCCAACGGGCTCCTAGCCGGTATGCAGTGGAGTAAGAACGTGAGCTCTGCCACACTTTATGTCTTTAGATCAGGGGTCTCCAACCCCCGGGCCAGGGTCCGTGGCCTGTTAGGAACCGGGCTGCACAGCGGGAAGTGAGCAGCAGGCAAGTGAGCAAAGCGTCATCTGTGTCTGCAGCCGCTCCCCAGCTGGCATCACCTCCTCAGCTGCGCCTCAGATCCTCAGGCATTAGATTCTCATAGGAGCCCCCATCCCTGGTGGCAGAAAAATTGGAGACCACTATTTCAGATGCTAATGGGCTTTGTCTGCAGTCTTGAATGAACCCCAAACAGGTAGTAGTTGATGCTAATTCCCTGGCTGCAGTTAAACTCAACTGTCTATATGATGCACAAAACCTACATTTTAAGCTGCAAAATGATCTTACATAATCAAGAAATGCAGTATTAACTCCAAGAACTATTCCTTACAGCACTAAAAACAAATTCCATTCAACTTCAGAGGTGTGAATTAATGGGATGCACAAAGTGCGATATTCTTAACTAGTTCTTATAAAGCAATTTTTATCCTCAAAGCATTTTAGGAAATTAATTAATCATCACATCCTTTAGAAAGAAAACTCTTCTGTCTGCAGGAGCCTCTGTCACAGGATTCAGAAAGCGCTGTGATTCAGGTACACGCTGACATTGGGGACGTTCGGATCCACTTATTCACTAAGCAAATGTTTATTTAGTGTCATTTCTAGAAATCTGTGCACTGTGCTCTCTGCATTGTGCAACTAATAACAGTACAGAGTTAGAGCCAGCCTAAAACTGAAAGAATCTTCATAGCCACCGTGTCATTCATTTATTCAACTTCCTGCTTTAGGATACATTTTTATTACATCACTGACGCATTTTGCAACTGAGTATCATTTCACGCAGGGTCTGTTCCTGTCAGGTGAAATGATAAATTTGTACATTTGGAACTGCAAATCTAGTTATTCATGCTTTATGTAAGCAAATTAATTTTTTTCTTTGGGATTATTGCCAATATTTAATATGAATTCTACCGAGATGTCGAAGAATTTTAAAAATCACAGTAAATTGCAAAATGGGTTCATTGATCTGAGCAGGTAACCAGAAGAGGTGGCACAGGAGCTGGGTGAGCTCGGGGTTCCCAGGTGGAGGTGTTGCAGATGCTAGGTGTGCAGGGGAAGGGTTGGCACGAGCGGAAATGTAGAAGAGGGGACAGGCGTAGCGCGAAGGTGAGCTGTCCAGTCGGAAGGAAACACCGTCACAATAATGGCCATAAAGACAGTGCGGAGACCCGTCCGTAGAAGTCCGTGAATAGTGGGCTCAGAGTTCAGTCTTCACTAAATGAATCCCCATATGTCAGTATCACCCTCGGTACATGTACCGAACCTTTCGAGGCTAGAGTCACAGTGGACCTGCCGGAGCCTGGCACTCACAAAACAGAAGTTCTCTCTGTATTTATGAGTGCCGTGGGTCTTCACTGAAACAGCTCTCTCTGTGGTGTTTAAAATCTGTAAATAACTTTGCAATATTTCTCATTATAAAATATTATGTAATCATCATGCTTTTTAAATGTAAGAAAATATTAAGAAAAACACTAAAAAGTTACTTAAAATATTACCATTCAGATGAAATGGCCGGTACTATTTTGTATCTTAGTCATCTTCCCAATATTTCTGGGCTTACGCACGCGCGCACACACACACACACACACACACACACACACACACACACACACAGTCACATTCCCTTTACAGAGCTGTATACATTATATCATAAATTAAACATTCTTCTTAACCTGAGTCCATGTAATTTTGAATATTTCAAGATTTATTGGACCAATCCTCTCTTCGTTAAATTTTGGTTCCTATAAAAATCGGAAGTTCATGAACCATGCCACGTCAAGCACACAGTGTGCATCTGTATCGATCCAATTTATATTCTTCCCCAGATTTTCCCGGCCCACCTGCCTGCCAGGTCCTCGCTGCCTTCTCAGTGAAGTGCTGTGGAACTCAGTGGAGTGACTGCCTCAGCAGTCACCCCGTGGGGGCTCCGGGCTCCCCCAAGGAGAAGTCATGTGGGGGGAGCCTCCTGGGCAGCTGCAGCCCAGGCCACATTCCCAGGGACTCCAGGTTCCAGCTAGAGGTCGAGGCGAGGCTGTTGGGTAGGGCCTGCCTCTGGCACCCTAGGTAGGCTGCCTGAGCCTCTGGAGCAGCTGAAGTGCAGGTGTACTTAGTACCGGCCGGGGTGACTGAAGGGGCAGGCGGATGGTGCTGGAGAGATGATGATGAGGTCTCCCTCTCCCCCGGGGCAGTTCCGCAGGCCTGCACCGCCAGGCCAGAGAGAGCTGGCTGAGCCAGTGACTGGCTGCACTTTCTTGTGAAACTGCCTACGTCCCCAAGCACCACTTCTAATTTTTTCTCCTTCCTTTTCTGCCTGGCTTCCCTTGTGCATCATTTTTGCTGCCCTGCCGTAGGTTGGACCTTCGGCCATGTAAACTTTGCCTGAGATCCAGCTCCCAGGCAGTGTGCGCGAGGTGCCTTCTCTGTGATGTTGCGATGCTGTCTGCTCCTCCCTTGGAGAGACGCGCCTCCGTCCTGTGAACCCGCGGGCCCGGGGAGCGCGCAAGTGAACCTCAGGTCAAGATGCCCTGACTTCCTCCCGCGCAGGTTGGGTTGGCTTACCCTATTCCCAGCAACTGAATGCTAATTTCTTTTCGACAGACTGTGAAGTGAATTCTTTTTGCTCACCTGTAATCTTTTTTGTATTTTGCTGTAAGTCCCTGCAGTGCAGCCTGGGGAGCAAGGAAAGATTCTGTTGACCAGTTGTCGGCCTTTGCTTCCCATGACAGAAGCTAATCTGTTATTCATCTAACTGAATTATCCCTTTTTTATAGAAAGTATTGGTTTGCTGGAATTTAAATTTCGAGAGAGCAAAACGAGCATGGCCATTTACCGTGCGACAGATTTTTAAAAAAAAAGCTAAGCCACCCACGCATGAGGTGCTTAGCGCACACTGGCCTCTGCCTTTAGAGTTTGCGGTTGCACACATGACAGCGGACAGCTGACACAGCTTGAGTGTTTGATGGAGAAAGTATGGAGCCAGAGAGGTGAGCTCTACACCAACACCCAGGAATGATTCGGAGCTGGGAGGCAAAGCCTGGAGGGGAAGCAGTGAGTGGGGGCGGTGCCTGTGCACGGACATGTGCGTGTGTGCGCGTGTGCGTGTGTGCTTCTGGGAGGGCTTGGGGAGAGGTGAGACTAGGTTTTGCAGGGTCTTGAGAGCAACACAGAGGACAGATGTGCATTTGGCCTGAACCCCAAGGTCGGTGGTGCCACTGACTGCGTGTGTGCAGGGAAGGAAGGGACCTGGGCTTCCATGGCTGGAGCAGGGACAGGGAAGGAGGTGTGAGCTGGGCGTCCAGGAAGAGGCTGTGGCTCCGGGGGTGG